TTGGAAACAAAACGCCTTCAGTCCTGTCAGATAATTGCTATAAGCATCTGTCATTTAACTTTGTAGGAATTTAGGAAATTCCTGTCTACATTATAGATTTTCAAGCTTCCACTTTCCTAGTCTTCAATGGAAACTTCCAGCTCTGGAAATGTGAAATTATGGTTATTTTCTGGTGCTTAAAAATGTGTGGAGAAATTGACTTTATAAGAGAGAATTTGGTGGCCATGTAACACCTCTTCTGTCTGTGCAGATTGCCTATGCCAAGAAACATTCACTGCTCACAGTGAACAACCTCGGTGCGAATCTGTAGGTGTTTCGCAGAATATTGTAATGATTGTTTGAACCATCTGTCTCTTAACTGCGTTCATACGTGAATTCTGGCAAAAAAATACAGTGTTTGTAAGAGTTGGGGTAGTATTTCTGTGCGTATGCGTAGTAAAAACTTTGTTATTAATTAGCCTGTTCCCTTCCAGCTCCAATGGCGATTCCTCCATCATACGCAGACCTTGGCAAGTCTGCCAGAGATATCTTCAATAAAGGATATGGTAAGAATAGTACTTGTCATAAAACATCTTGTTTGTCTGTACTGGGGCATTGTCTTTTTAAGCCTGCACATGAAATGGACTGCTCAAATGTTTTGGGATAGAGGTTATTGCTTTTGTTTTCACTCTCCACTAGCATGTCATTAGAGGCTTTTTGCAGGCTAGTTTGGTATGAAGTCTGTTAAATCTTAGTGCTTTCACTACATAAATGTTAGGAAAGAGGTATACAAATAGGCAAGAATGTAAGCAATTGAAAGTGTAATTTATTAGCTCAGGTGTGCTTCTGTAGTGATCTGTGTATGCTACAGCATTTCTTGACACAGAAAGAGATATATAATATTGTAGCCTTTTTTGAGTAGAAAGAAGAATAGATATCAAGATAAAGAATATTTGAGTGTATTAAAATAGTAATACTAGGCAGTTTCCTAGCTAAATGCTGCTTCAGTTATAGTACTGTTTCTTTCTAGCAGCTAGGCAAAGTGTGTAAAACTTTAGGAATGAGTTTTGGATGCTTTTTCACCTAGACTGTCACTCCGAGCTCCAAGGGTAACAAGGTGAAATGACAATCCCATAAATCTATATGTTTCTCAGTGGCAATGGCTATGTATAACCCTGTTTTTGCTTCTTGGATCTTTCTGCTCCTTGATGCTTGGGGGATGGATTTTATTCTGATTCATGCATAGGGTAGCTCATCATTGAGTGCGGAACTGATGCCATCGAGGAAACGGAAAAGAATGCGTTTCACTGCAGTTCGATTTATTCTTGGAAGTCACCTTTTGGCAGGCAGGCACATATCCTTAGCGTACTGCTGAAGGGCCTTTTCCAACTTGATTTGGTGAAGATATCTGCCGCTTCCCATGATGGAACACAACTCTTGTTTTATGCGAGGGTGCTCTCCCCTGCCTGCTTTAATAATATCTACAGTTTGAATGGTGTAGGGGTCAGTGCTGTCCTCCAGGCCTACTTTTGCAGTGTGTGTAAATGTGTGTATTTATTGACAGACACACAGCTGAGACTGTTTGGAAAACTAGCTTCTTGGAAATATTCCATAGTCTTAATATGCGCCTTTGTAACTTTAACTTCTGTTTATTAAGGTTTCGGGCTGGTGAAACTGGATGTGAAAACAAAATCTGCAAGTGGAGTGGTGAGTTTAAATACTTCTTATTCATTGTGCTTTTCTGCATACATTCTGCCATTTAATTATGGAATGTCTGTTTCTGGATGCCATTAGGAAGTTGATCCTAATGGTAAACACCATAAAATAATTTTAGAAGCCACTGAAGGTTTGGTTTTGAATATGACAGTGGCACTGCAGTATGTGACGGTATCTAATAATAAAATTAGTTGCCTAGTTATCTTTCTAAAATAAGGCATTTTGTTGCTCTTTTTGTATCTGAAGGTGAACAAATACCCGACCCATTTTTAAAGTGTTTTAGGAATATCAGTCATAATATAATATGCATGTCTTATTTCTGAAGTATTCTGGGTCACTGTTTATGTTCATCAGAAATGTCTGGCATCTTAACACCCTCCTAGAGTGAGTAGTTGGCAGTGAAACAGCACCTCTAGTCTTTGGCTCCTCTTTAGAGGTATTAGTGTTGTAGTAATGTTTCATGCAAGATGTCTTTGTGGTGCAAGTGGTGCCTTTTGTAACTTTGTCTATTTCTAGAGCAGGCTTTGCAAGATCTAAAAGTAGATTTTTCAGAAGGGAAATCTTTAACAATGTAACTGTTCCGTAGGAACAAGGTGTGTGGGTTGTGTTGTGTTTTTTGTAAACATCTGTATCCTAGCTGAGAAAGCTCTAGTATAGATATAGTAGTTCTTAATCAAGTTTGTTTCTGTCAGGGAGTACTAGCAATACTAGTAAAACTTCCTTAGAAAGCTGAGCCCTTGTATGAATCTCAGTTATAAGCCATCCTTGGCAGGAGAAGGTGTTGACATGTACAACTCTTACAGACAGTTTTAAGCCAAGAGAAGGCTCTTAAATGTAATAGCAGCTCATAAAGCTATTATAATGAATGGCTGCATTTGCATATACTTTATACTTTGTGCTATAGGAATATCACACAGAAGGAATGTGAAGCTGAAGATACTGTTACTTTGAGTTGTGTGGTTCCTGTCGTTTACTAGAAGGTAGATCTACTTACTACAGTTTCGCAACTGTGGATAGTTTAGTGGTTCAGTAATACAATTAAGGGAAACACCTTGACTGTGTGGGTTTTTTTTTTTTTTTTTCCTCTTTCCAATGGTAGTTGGCAGTCTCTCTCTAAGTGTTGGAAGTCTTGGGCTGTAAATATGGTAGCATTTAAAGATCCATTATTTCAAATGCAGTCCTAAAGTGAAACCAGTGTTTCCTTCTCCTGGGGGAAATGGGATGTGCTACCATGTAAAGAGTCTATTTGATAATTGTATTGGGCATGGACAAGGTCAAAAGTCAAAACTGATTTATATTTTAAAAAATATAGATATTTTTTTCCAATTGAACTTTATTGGAAATAGCTCCTTAACATAAGCTTGCAAAACACTCTGCTGTTTCTACTAGATTCTGCCTTATGTTTCTGAACAGTGATATACAGATTCTTCTTTCTGTTCTCTGGGATATTCCAAATAGTGAGAGACATCAGGAGCTTGTTAGCTTTAGTTAGGAGATGGGAGTGTTACTGCTAACCTTAAGAATTCTAAGTGACTAGAGGTGGTCTAATGACTCAACCAGAAGAATAAAATCAGACTATTGCCTCAGCTCATAATTCAAATATGAGTGTTCTGCCTGTGTATCTTTAAAATGAAGTATCGGAGGAATAACAGTTTTACAGATGTCAGTAAAAACACATTTATACCTATGGGTTGTGTGGAAGTCTGGGGCACTGGTTTGACTGAGAACTCCTCCCTCCTTAAAAAGCTTGAAATATTTGGTCATGTGTAGAGCGATGTCATTCTATGGCATTTTACAAATGTACATAACCTATCTTTGGAGATGGATGGACTAGAAGAGTGAACACATATGTGAGACTTAAAACATTGAGTGAAATTGCATGATAGTGTTTGTGGCTCTTATGAGTAAATTAAAAATTACACTAAGGAGTACCAACATTGACATATTTCAAGATTTTTTTTTCTGTTTTTAAGGAAAATGTGTGCAGTAACCACTATCTTGCTTTTGAGTTGCATTTCAAGCTTGTGTATTCTGCAGTGCTGGGGTTTGTGCTCTGTTCAGTGAGACAGAGGAAATCAAATTGCAAGTAGGCATGAATTACCCAGTTCTCCTGACTTCCTACCCCTTCTCCCAAACCCCTCTCCCTGCAGGTTCTTTAGCATTTTTGAACTTACTGCATAGTAAAACAGGATCCTAGTGTCTGCTAAGGTAGTCTTTTTCTCTTTTGTCACTGTGGAAGACTTTCAGGAATACTTGTGTTTAATGTGAATACCATCTTTTTTTTAGGAATTTACAACAGCCGGTTCATCAAACACAGACACTGGAAAAGTGAATGGGAGCTTGGAGACCAAATACAAGTGGGCTGAGTATGGGCTAACCTTCACAGAGAAATGGAATACAGATAACACTCTGGGAACAGAAATTGCAATTGAAGATCAGGTAATACATTAAGAGAGTACCAAATCTTTTACTTACTTAGCAGAATTGATTTTATAGCTTTATCATCTTTTCTCCTCCCCACCCTTTCCCCAATTAGATTGCCAAAGGCTTGAAGTTGACATTTGATACAACTTTCTCACCAAATACAGGGTAAGAATTCTGCTATTCCTTTTGGCTTGTTTAGGCAAATAAGCACCTCCATGGTAAATATATGTTCTCCTGTATATGAAATCAACAGAGACATTTATATGGTTTGTTGTCGATCCAGAATTACTTGGGAACTTTGATAATGGTGAGTTATCAAATCCCAGTGTTGAAGAGTTTTGGTGTTGTGCATCACATTTTATTCTACAGGGTTAGTATAGGATGTCTCTTAACTATCCCTCCTGCTCACGCTGAAATAGTGTAAGAAGAAGTATAAACATAGAAATAATTAATTGGAAGGTTACAAAAGGCATGAAAAGGCCTCTAACCTTCATTGCAAAATGCATGTCTGCTGTGGCTTTTTTGATATTCCATGCTTTGTTTGACCCAGTCTAGAGGATACTTGGCATTTAGATACCTGTTGCAGTTATGACTCCAACTTGGCAATTCATTGAGTAAGAAAAGCCTTGTCTTAATGCGATTGTTTTTCTCTTTCAGAAAGAAAAGTGGTAAAATTAAGTCAGCATATAAGCGTGAATGCTTAAACCTTGGTTGTGATGTTGACTTTGATTTTGCTGGACCTGCAATCCATGGTTCAGCTGTCTTTGGTTATGAGGGCTGGCTTGCTGGATATCAGATGACTTTCGATAGTGCCAAATCAAAGTTGACAAGGAATAACTTCTCTGTGGGTTACAAGACCGGAGACTTCCAACTGCATACTAATGTGTAAGTACTAAAAATAGTCTTCCACAAAACGAGATGATCTCTACTATTCCTGCTAGTCAGAATATGAATGCTTGAAATGCCAGGAAATGTTCAAATTGCAACTGAGCATTGAGCTTTTTGGAAAACAAACTCTTTTATTAAGAATTGCCTTGTCAGTCTCTCCAAAACCTGTAAATGTGATTTGTTACTGTTTACCATGCAAGATATGCTAGAGTTTACCAAATGCTGAAGAACATTAAATTGGAACTGCAGTAGTTTAGTTAGAGCAGATCGTAATGCATTTTCAAGCTTCCCCATTACATTGAATTGTATCTGTCTATATACATAAATTTAAGGGCACTAGATTTGTTAGATGGTAGCAACCAGCATTGCACTGTTTAAATATGGCCTGAGTAATTTCTGAAGCAAGAATAAAGTTTTGCTTTTGGCCTTTTAGAGTGGGCTCACCTTCCTGCCAGTATGGGGTAAAGAGTGTGCTCAAGAGTGAACTTAAGTTTATAAATCTGCTTCAGTTTCTGTATCTAGAGATCATGAAGGTAATTCACTGGGTTTTGATCAGTTTAATCTGAAAAGCAATGTTTTCACTTGAAGCTAGTACAAATTAGTACTTTTCTAGTGCGCTTAGTTAAGAGAGAACTTCTTATTCGATTTTGTCCTTCTAGAAGAGTATAGTGGGTGTTGTGTCTATTTAGGTTGGTGAAACTTGGGGACAGGGGAAAGCTACAGGCAGCTGAGTCTAGGACGTGAGAATTCCATGTCAGCTTACTGATATCAAACATTGTGACAAAATTGTAAAAATATCTTCTGATTCTTTAGAGCATAAAATGTATTCAGTAACTTAGAATGCTTATTTCCTGACAATTGACATATATCTTCTAGTATGGTAAAGAAACAGTTTTGCCCTTTACTTGATCAAATGCTTAGTTTGATGTTCTCAAGAGAATTAGCATTGTCTGTAGTGCTGTGAATTAATTTTTGCATGAATTACTAAAATTTAATTTATTCCTGAAGGCTCTGTTCATATTTTTTTCTGTCTAAAAGTGTGAAAATTCAAATTTTCTGAATTGTTATTTAAATTATCTATCTATCTATCTCTGCCTCTCTCTCGTATATATATATGTGTGTATGTGTAGTTATTGATTTATTTTTAACTTGTGCAGCAATGATGGGTCGGAATTTGGTGGCTCAATTTACCAGAAAGTGAGTGACAATCTTGAAACTGCTGTAAACCTGGCTTGGACGGCGGGTAGCAACAGCACTCGTTTTGGCATTGCAGCCAAATACAAGTTGGATTCCACTGCTTCTATCTCTGTAAGTATGGCTCTAACTTAGAGGGTTATGCTAAGCCCAGCAGTCCCCCAGTTTCCAAATGTGTTTTATCAATACCAAAGAGATGGTCCAAAAACCTCGTAAAAATTACTCTTACAATTCAGGTAGTTTTTAACTAAACCAGGAAAATCTCATTAAGAGTGGATATAGAGAACCTCTGTAGCAGTTTACTGGGTTCTTCAGCAGTTTTTGGGGAGCTGTGCAAGGTTCTCATGGTGAGAACTATGGAGGTGCTGCATAAAAAGGCTATGTGCAGGGAAATTTTCTGTGTGTTGGAAAGTTGGAATTGAATTTGGGTGGTTGAAATTGTCCAATAGAGGAACCGATATAACCTGAGATTAGTAATTCTACATATATTGCTTTATGATGATACTATGAAATGTCAGTTTCTTGACTGAGTAGAGCTGCAAAATACCAGTTCTTTTCTAATACTGTTAACGTGGAAGATTCTTATGAAGTGTTTTGGGTGCAGGGGGAGCCTGTGGTGGTGAATTGCTATGGCCTCCTGAAAGGAAAGGGAAAGACTACCTGCCAAAACTACATTCCAGTACAACTCTCCCCCTCCATCCTGTCTACCTTCAAATACATTCCGGTTCTTCAACAGTAAATTGATGGGAAAGGGCAATGCTGGAAGAAATAATCCAGTGAGCAGAAAGGTTTTGAAAGGACAAGTAAAATCTGGCCTAAGTTGATAATGGTGGTGTCACTATTGCTATTCTAGCATCTGAATGATAATAACAGCTCTTCTCTTGCAACACTTTAATTGATTTGGTTATTTTTGCAGGCAAAAGTGAACAATTCTAGTCTAGTCGGAGTGGGGTACACCCAGACCCTGCGGCCAGGTAAGGGCTTTCATGTATTAATTATGTCACACCATGTATTTTATCTTCCATGTGTAGACATTCACTGAGGATAGTGCATTTTTATGTGACTATTTCCCCCCTTTAGAGCAGTTTTACGCTGACAGCAAAGTAGATGTTTGACAGTAGCTTATGTTGCATATTAAGCTTTCATCTAACGAAGACAACTTCTCTTGCATCTATTTAATGGTATTTCTGCATTACATTCCTCATTGATTTTCGTAGCAGTCTTGTAAGGGTATTTGATAATATACCTTTAGTCCATGCAAGCACTTTTTCCTTCAGCATTGCTTTCTGCATTTACATCTTACCAAATGACAGCGGGTCTTGTGATGACAGCATTAATCCTCAAAACAATACACCTTCTGCTCTGCATGTTAAACACTCCTCCCAAACAAATCCCTGAACTTATCTGTTTTGTCTTAATATGAAGCCACTTCTCAGTACTCCATTACCATTGGTGATTTACTTGTTTGGAAACAAAACCCAGTAGTTTCATTCTGTCTCTTCATCAATGCAAATGCTTGTCTTAGTATACCTAACTCCCCTTCTCTGTGCACACTTCAGTGTAGAAGATGAAACCTTTTCTATACAAATTGATTAGAGACTTTCAATATCTACTTCATAAAATGGTGCTCGCAAGAAGCGTCTAGTTTGCTTGTTTTGCATGGCTGGCTTTCAGTGGATTTGACACTAAATGGACTGGTGTAAATGGATTCCTCTGTTTTTTTTAAAAAAAAAAAAAAAAATCTTTTGCGGAAACTAATGGCATAGGAAAGAGCTACAGTGGGGTCTTGTAATGACAGAGGTTGAATTGAATGAAAGCTGCTCTGATTCTGTGTTGTAAACATACTCTTTAAAATGTTACAGGTGTGAAGCTTACACTGTCTGCTCTGATAGATGGAAAGAGCATCAATGCTGGTGGCCATAAACTTGGTCTTGGCCTGGAATTGGAGGCTTAAAACGGTGAAGAAACTGCTGCAGAGAAGGGATATCAGAAGAATTTGGCCTTAAATTCCAATGTGACCAGCAGGCTTTATTTCCAAGAAGGATGACCTAGAACAAGAGCTGTATTTGAAGTATTTAGACAGTTACTTGTTAGCTGGTTTCTAGTTCAATTGGTTACCCATCTAGTTACAATTCTGCATTAGTGCAGTCACTTAAACATTATTTAAATGTATTTAACTGTTTAATGCGCTACCCACAAATAATGAAATAGACATTTATGAAAACTGTACAATTGTGTGCATGTTTGTTTTTATGTTCCTTTTAACATTCAATATTGCCATTGAATGAAAACTGGATCAGTGGATGTTTTGAAATGAGGTCAACAGTTTTGTTATATCACCTGAACTAGAAATACATTTGGTATCCCGAGACGACTCAAATTATGAATAAAACAAGTACACACACATACTTGTGCCTCAAATATTTTAAGAGTTAATATATGAGGGTAGTGCTCAGTAAGTTTTAAGTTTAACTCAAAATAACCTAAGACCTATAGTACTTTATACTTTTGTGCAATTAAGGACTCGCTTTACTCATGACAACACTGAAGACAGATGATTTTCTCTGAACAGCTGGATTCCTCAAGCAGATTGTTTTCTTTCTTTCCCCTTCCCTCTCTCAGGTAAGATTTATCATACCACACCATTTAAATTAGTGTTATGTTCCATGGGCAAAATTCACTGCAGGATGATGGACTTGCCACATGGAGACATATAAAAACTGCTTCTTGATACGCTTGCCTCGGGGTGGGGGAAAGAACAGAAAATGCTTCTCTTAGAGATATCTTACCAAATGAGACAACTTCTGCAGTTGGACACTATAACAGCCTGCTTAGCTCAACTGCTATGTTTCTGCCCAAAATGAGTGAAATAAAGGTTTTATTTTTTCCATTTTCACTTAAAATTAATCCAATTCTGTCATCTTATGGACCAATAATTCTTGACAAATGTCTATTTTCTGTCCAGAAATATGTGGGATAATAGAAAAAAAATCATAGTGTCCCAGGTCAGCTTTAATAGAGGTAATGGAAATACAAGGTATATCTGGTTTCTGAACATACAATCTCTTAAAGTCAAACATGGTTACTTGTGAAGACTTCTAATGTAAATATGTTGGCAAATGTAGTTCCAGCAAGCTTGCATTCAGGAACAGAGGTTCAGGGGAGTGCCTGGAGCTGCTCCTTGCAGGTCCTTCTCCTTGCAGCTGGAAGGGGTGTGTGTTTGTGCCTAGTCTTGCTGGCTGTAGCTCGCAGCAACTTCCTTCACAGGGAGGGGGCTGGCTCATGGCCTGCAAGCCTTAAGAAGAATTAATCCTCTTAGAAATCCTAGTGAGTGGCTCAGGTCCTGGTCCACCCTGCATCACTGTCCTCGCATTCAGGTTTGGGAGTAGCTACCCTGCAGCAAGCTGCACGTCCTCAGGTGTTACCTGCGAGGTGATCCAGCCCCGCTGCAGGAAAGGGAGTAGAGCAGACCTTACACTACGTCTCAGGCTCTGGAGGGGGTTTTCTGGTTTCTCTGCCTGTTTGTTTCAAGAGAAACAGAGTTCAGCAGCAGGGGTAGTAAGCTTGTGCTTAAGTGTACCTTCCACCACCAGAAATAAAATTCACTTTTCTTAGGAGCACTTTAAATGGTGGAAGAAGAGGCTCGTAAGGTGCAGTTTGTTAGTCTTTTGCATGTTATTTTTTGAAAAATTAAAAAAGAGAATTTGTAGTTGATAAGTGCTAGGCCTTCTAAAGCTTAGAAACCTTTGAATTTTAGTACAAGTTCTCTTGTTGGTGTAATCACCTTCAGTGCCACACAGTGGGTGTTCAGGCTTGTCCTGAGAAATGCCACGTGCTTCACCCAGCGCAGCCCCTGCACGAATACAGGAGCCTCTCTCCAGCTCGGAAGGGCTCCCCTACATCCTGAAACCACCAGCTGCCACCCTCCTGTTTCTCCTTCTTTTCTGGGGAAGGGGAAAGAAGGGATGGGGGTTTAAAGAGGGCTGCAGTGAGTCCGGCACCAACCCTTAACACTGTCCTCCTCACATGTTCAGCTGTAGTTGTTTTCCTTGCAGACATATAATAGGTAAGTGAAATAAAAGCAGACAGTTCAGAACTACTTTTCTTCTCTTTCTGCAAATTAATAATGGAAGACTTAAGCATATTGCTCTTACCTTTCCATGAAAATCACTTTAGTTCACAGTTTTACTTCTTTTACTGTTATAATACTAATGCACAACCAGAGAACAAACAAACAAAAACCAAGGGTTAATGGTTGTGCAGTAGTTAACATAGCTGAAAATGTAAGTTCTCCTAAAATGCTTTATTGTATATCATTACTTTGGAAATGAAAACTAAAGTTCAGGCTCTACCTTTTGATGGTTCTCAAGTAAGACTTGTTAAAAGGGCTTTGAAACTTCCTTTTTGAATATGTTACAGAAGATACAGTTGGATGTAATTGGAGTTTTGTGGTGAGGAAAGCCTGTAGTTTAATGGCTCCATTTTCTTATAAAGTGAAAAAGAGAAAGCTTTAATGATCACTCCTCAGTGCTAGCCAGCCTTTTTTTTTCAGTTGTCATCTGGAATAAAATAAAAATACTGAGATATCTAATGACCTGAGAATTGCTGTTCATCTTGTTTGTGTAGCATTGCCTACTAAAATGGGAATAGGAGTTGTCTGTGGGGATAATTGCAAGAGGACTTAATTGCAGACATTTTTGTTAATAAAAATAGTTGCAGATGGGACTGACCCTCCTGAATCTTGCAATTTAACATCCACGTGGCTCGGACATTTGTGTTCTAGTTATGCTATAGAAATTTGTCAGGTTATATTAACTAACCTTGCACTCCTAAATCTGACTCTTGCATGTTACAGTCATTTGGAACCAAGGAACTTTTTTGAAACCATTTCAGAGTGAGCACGGAAACTATCCCAGTATTGGACACATGCTTATTACTTTCCCTGGGCTCTTGCTGGGTTAAAATCAGGCATCAGCAGAATGTGCTGCCCTCTAATGTCATGTTTTGGTGCTTGGCTTAAAAGTGGCAATGGTCTATCCAGCCCACACAAAGGCGCACTTGAGTTTTAAGGTAACTGCATTTTTATAGGAAGTAGAAATTACCAATATGAGAGAGCCTGGGGGCAAATGATTCAGCCCTGCTTATGCTAAAGGTCGTTGCTTGCTTATCATAACCTTCGTCAGTGAAGACACAGAAGCAATTCTGGGCAAGGCAGGTCATCTCTCACCCACGAGAAATACTGGGACTTTACCGTGACAGCTATGTCTTAATGACCAGGACAAATGTTTCAAGTCCTTAATTTGGAGGAAGAATAGAAACACAAAGCAGATCAAAGATTTGAGCATGTATTTTAGTAAGCATCCCTTCTCATGACTAATTATCTGGGTCTGCCTCATAAGCACCAGTGTTTCTATAATGCTGCTGCGTCACACGGAAAGCAATGACCAACTGAACAGTCTTAATTTTTCTGAGCCTTGCATGCAACTTTCTTCTTTTTAAGTGTGAGTTTGATATTGATGTCCTTGCAAAAAGAGGCAGAAATGTCGTGCGCTGCAGTCTCAGAAGAGTAATATCCAGTTAACACTTCTAAAAATGCTGTTAGACAAAATGTGTGGTTTTATTCACTCTGAAGCTTGGTTAGAGTATCCAGATTTATATGTACACTCATTTTTATCTACCAGTGTGGGGAAAAGTGCTGACAGTACTTTAAACATAGTAAGCACTCAGACTTTGCTTCACCTCCAAGCATTTGACCTTTACTACAGCATGTGTTTTTCAATTAGAATTTTCTGCTGAAACAAAGAGAACTGAAATATTTGCACTAAGATTTTTGCAGGTTAACCATGCCACAAGCTTCAGAAATCTTCCAAAAGTCTGTGAATGCTGTTGTGGGGTGCTCTTTGTCCTGGATCCACAGGGGAAGGTTGTACACATAAGGAACGTTTTGCTATTTTATTTAATTACACACTGTTAACAGTTCGGTACGTTTGTGTGTTTGCTCAGCCTATTTGCCTATAAGCATTAAAATAGTCAATAACTGCTATAAAAACTTACTAATCTTGTATGCTATGCTTCCTGGAGCTGGTTTGAGTGTGCTAGCGTGAGTCAGAGCAGGGGCTCTGCCTAAACCCAGCGTGGCGCAGCTTGCAGAGCAGAGGCAGCAGCTCCCAAGCAATGCCTGAACTTTGTCCCTTGGAGTTTTATTTGTTCCACTGCAGCAGTATTAAAGGCACACTTTAACTGCATCCTTATTAGGAGCCACACCTAGTTTGGTGTTTCAGAAATGATAAGTTGCTGTGCCGTGTCTAGGGCTTGGATATTACACAAGTAAGGATTTTGAGGTGTTTTGGTTTTGTGGGGATGAAAGATCAATGTCTTCCACCTGAAGCTACTAAATAGCATTATTTTAACTTGTTATTTTTAGCAGCCAGGGAGTGCCAATCTGACAGCTTTTGCAGTAGGGGCTGCTGTGGGCTATTCTGGTGCCCTGCAGGTCCCCGCATCTGGGGGATGGAGCCAGCTTGTGCCCTTCTGCTTTCTCCCCTTTGCTTCAAAACTTTTCCTGCCTGTTTTCCAGCCTGGCTTATGGATCAATTATGCCATCTGGTGGACATTCTGTTTTCTCTTTTGATCTCTTCGGGGAACATTGTAAAACCTAAAACAGCTTTTTTTCTTTGATATTTTTTCAGGTACCTTCTATTAACTTACAGAGTAAAAAGAATAATAGTTAAAAAAAAAACAGAAAAATGCTAATTTTTTCAGTAAATCTAAACCTGATTCTGAGCTAATGAAATTGAGTTAGATTAGAAAAAAAAGCAGCTACTGCTGCACTGAGATGTCTCCTACCGCAGGGCGTGTGAGTGGTGGGGCGCACACGGAGTCCTGGAAAATGCACAGTCCCGCTCCTTGCAACAAGCCAGGGGCAGCGGGGTCCTGATGCGCCGGGGTTCCCTCCCAACAGGAGCTAGTGAAAAAGCAGCCGAGCTGCTCAACTGCTGCATTTCTGAGAAACCTCAAGATAGATCAAGATCCCCTTGATTTCGGAAGTGAAGTTTCAGCCTTGATTTCCCAGAAAAGCTTGACAGCATGAAGATGGAGTGTGCTCGCTTTTGGAGAGCAGAGGGCTGGTGGTGGCCCACATTGGCTGTTCAGCCTCCCCGCTGCTGTTATCAGCTTTTCCCACATTTGCAGCTACATCCCAGCCCAGACGTTTGGGTCTCTGTGATGGCCGTCCAGGTGGCCCAGGGCTGCCGTGGCCGTGAGGGTGCCCTCCTGGCTGCTCAGTGACTCCCAGGGACCCCTGGGCAGTGTTCAGGCAAGGATCGCCTTCATTCTGAGCACGGTTATGAATTCTCCACTTTGCAATTTCTTTTAAGGTGGTCGTCGCTAACTTTAGGAGCTCAGT